GGCTGGCGCCTTAGCCGGTTGAGCTATAGGCGCCGAGCCTAGATTTTTATTTTTAATTTTATTTATTTTTTTTTGAGACTGAGCCTCAAGCTGTCCCCCTGGGTAGGTGCCGTGGCATCACAGCTCACAGCAACCTCCAACTCCTAGGCTCAAGCAAGTCTTCTGCCTCTGCCTCCCAAGTAGCTGGGACCACAGACACCCACCACAACGCCCAGCTATTTTTTGGTTGCAGCCATCATTGCTGTTTGGCAGCCCGGGCTGGACTCAACCTGCCACCTTAGGTGTATGTGGTTGGCACCTTAGCCACTTGAGCCACAGGTGCCGAGCCACAAACCAGATTTTTAAGTGACACCATATACATTTTATTTATTTATTTATTTTGCAGTTTTGGCCAGGGCTGGGTTTGAACCCACCACCTCCGGCATATGGGGTCAGTGCCTTATTCCTTGGAGCCACAGGCAGTGCCCAACCACATAAATTTTAAATGTTGGCATACATGTGAATTGTCAAAAGCACTTAGGTATATAAAGCACTTCTGCTGGCTTGTGGTCCATGGACTAGCCATTTGCAATGCCTGGTTTAAAGTACCTTTTATTTATTTATTTATTTTGAATCATTTATTTCAGATCTTTTAAGGGCTGTCCCAAGATCCAGAGCAGATATGTATGACGATGTTCACAGTGACAGCAGATACTCCCTGAGTGGATCTGTAGCTCACTCTCGAGACACTGGGAGAGAAAGCCTGAGAAGTGATATATTTCCAGGGCCTTCCTTCAGATCAAGCAACCCTTCCATCAGTGATGACAACTACTTTCGCAAGGAATGTGGCCGGGATCTGGAATTTTCGCACCCTGATTCCCGGGACCAGGTCATTGGCCACCGGAAATTAGGACATTTCCGTTCTCAGGACTGGAAATTTGCACTTCGTGGCTCTTGGGAGCAAGACTTTGGCCACTCAGTTTCTCAAGAGTCCTCTTGGTCACAGGAATATGGCTTTGGTCCTTCTACAGTATTGGGGGACTTTGGCTCCTCCAGGTTGATTGAGAAAGAGTGTTTGGAAAAAGAGAGTCGGGATTATGATGTGGACCATACAGGGGAGGCTGACTCTGTGCTCAGGGCCAGTGGTCAAGTCCAGGCTAGAGGCCGAGCTCTAAACATCATTGACCAGGAAGGTGCCCTCCTAGGAAAGGGGGAGACTCAGGGCCTGCTTACAGCTAAGGGAGGTGTTGGTAAACTTGTTACACTGAGAAATGTGAGCACAAAAAAAGTACCTACTATAAATCGTATTACTCCCAAAACTCAGGGCACTAACCAAATCCAGAAAACCACCTCAAGTCCTGACGTGACCCTGGGGACAAATCCAGGGACAGAAGACATCCAGTTCTCCATTCAGAAGATCCCTTTGGGGCTAGATCTGAAGAATATTAGGCTCCCCAGAAGAAAGATGGGCTTTGACCTCATAGATAAGTCTGATGTTTTTTCAAGATTTGGTATAGAAATAATCAAATGGGCAGGATTTCACACCATAAAAGATGATGTTAAATTTTCCCAACTTTTCCAGACTCTCTTTGAACTTGAAACTGAAACTTGTGCTAAAATGCTTGCCTCGTTCAAATGTTCCTTAAAACCAGAGCATAGAGATTTTTGCTTTTTTACTATCAAATTTTTAAAGCACTCTGCTTTGAAAACACCCAGAGTTGATAATGAGTTTTTAAACATGCTTTTAGACAAAGGTGCTGTGAAGACCAAAAATTGCTTTTTTGAAATCATAAAGCCCTTTGATAAGTATATAATGCGACTTCAAGACCGACTTCTGAAGAGCGTCACACCTCTGCTTATGGCCTGTAATGCCTATGAGCTAAGCGTCAAAATGAAGACCCTCAGTAACCCCCTGGACTTGGCTGTTGCCCTTGAGACCACCAATTCTCTCTGCCGGAAATCTTTGGCCCTTTTGGGACAAACATTCTCCTTAGCCTCTTCATTCAGGCAAGAGAAAATTTTAGAAGCTGTTGGCCTCCAAGATATAGCTCCCTCTCCTGCCTCTTTTCCTAACTTTGAGGACTCAACTTTGTTTGGTAGAGAGTATATAGACCACCTGAAGGCCTGGCTGGTTAGCAGTGGGTGTCCCCTCAAGGTCAAGAAAGCTGAACCAGAGCCCACACGAGAGGAAGAGAAGATGAGTCCTGTGAAACTAGAAATTCAGGCCAAGGCTCTGAGTGGTCTGAGTGAAGGTAAGGAGAGCAGTAAAAATTTCTATTTGTTGCTTTTCATATTTTTTGGTAATGTCTCCTATTTGAGGTTTTTTACACAGAAGTTCTTTAGCCAACCGGGAACAAATCAGGATTTTCATAGAAAACTCACATTGGCCAATATGTATGTCTGCCATTAATTTTGTAAGCGTGTATTGGGAATCTTCTGTTTACCACAGAAGTCTTTACATACTTTTAGGTCACAGACCCCTTAGGCAATCTGATGGAAAGCTGTTGCCTTTGCTAGGAAAATGCACATACCCTTGTATACAACTGTACCTACACTTTTTTGGGGGGGAGCATTTGTACCTTTGTACAGCCAGGGTTAAGAACCCCTGTTCCTAAGGTATTTTTTTTTTTTTTTGGGTAGAGACAGAGTCTCACTTTATTGCCCTCGGTAGAGTGCCGTGGCATCACACAGCTCACAGCAACCTCCAACTCCTGGGGCTTAGGCAATTCTCTTGCCTCATCCTCCCGAGTAGTTGGGACTACAGGCACCCACCACAATGCCCAGCTATTTTTTGTTGTTGTTGCAGTTTGGCTGGAACTGGGTTTGAACCCACCACCCTCGGTATATGGGGCTGGCGCCCTACCCACCTACCCACTGATCTACAGGTGCCGCCCTATTCCTAAGGTATTATTGGAAGGGAGAAGAAAACACTGAATGCTGTGTCTGAGGAGTCCCCTGAAGGAAATCACGAAAACCAGTCACTCCTGAGCTGAGTTTGGTGGTGCATGTCTATAATCCCATCTACCTGGGAGCCTGAACCAGGAGGGTACCTCAAGGCTTAAGAATTCAGGCTATATTGTGCACAAACCTCAGTTCTGTGTATGTGAGTAGTCACTGTGCCATAGCCTAGACAACATAGTGAGACCCTTTCTTAAAAACAAAGACCAGATACAATGGCTTATACCTGTAATCTAGCACTCTGGGAAGCCAAGGTGGGAAGATCACTTGAGCTCAGAAGTTCAAGACCAGCCAAGCAAGAGCGAGACCCATTTTTACTAAAAATGGTAAAGAAAGAAATAGTCACCTGTAGGCCCGGCTGCTTGGGAGACTGAGGTAGGAAGATAGCTTGAGCCCAGGACTTCAAGGTTGTTGTCAGCTAGGCTGATGCCACAACACTCTATCTAGGGCAATGGAGCAGGACTTTGTCTCAAAAAACAAAAACAGGCGCCTGTGGCTCAAGAAGCTGGGGCACCAACCACATACACCTGAGCTGTCAGGTTCGAATCCAGCCCCGGCCCGCTAAACAACAATGATGGCCTCAACAACAAAAAAAAGCTGGGCGTGTTGTGGCAGGCACCTGTAGTCCCAGCTGCTTGGGAAGTGGAGGCAGGAAAATCGCTGGAGCCCAGGAGTTGGAGGTTGCTATGAGCTGTGATGCCATGGCACTCTACCCAGGGCAACAGCTTGAGGCTCTGTCTCAAAAACAAAAACAAAACAATAGTCACCCCTCTGCTAGAATCACAGGGACACTGGAGAAGCCCTAGCCAAGCCTAGGGAGTTGGGGAGGACATGTTTGACCTGTGTTGAGGGACATGCAGGGATCAGCCCAGTCATTCCAGGAGGTGGAGGCACATTTTTACCCCACTTACTAGACTCTCAAGTCAATATCACATAGGTATACCTGGTAACAGCAGTTTTGTTGACTTTCTGGAGGAGAATAATAATAATAATGGGCTGTTTGGTTTCTGTCTTCTCTTCTCCATCGCTCCCAGAATGGATACTCTTACAGCCCCGACATCATAGACATCATGAGCATACACAATCACCATGTTCCCCCTCTTGCTCCTATGATCAGGGAGGAAGCACTTTTCCCCTAACATGGTTTTTAGTTTGCCACCAGCCCAGAGGGGAAGTCTCATCTGTCCCTAACTTTCTTTGCTCCTTCACCATCCTCACGGAGCCCAACTGCACCAGTCACTGGATAGATCCTACCATGTACAGGTTGGACACAACCTAATCCCAGAAGGGATCCTTCCAGAAGCAGGCTTAGGGCCTCAACACCTTCCTCCCCACACCCTGCAAAATGATGGGATACTAACAAATGTATAAAGTGGGAAAACATCACCCCTAACCTAAAGTGGTTCCCCACCTCCCTGTGGTCTATTGTGCCCAGATGTTCCTGCAGCTGTAGGGGTGCTAGACTGAAAATGCTATCATCTATTCTTTTCATGATTGCTAAAGTCCCTCTTTTGTGTTTCTACAGCATTTGCTATATCATGATATTGCCCTAACATAAATTACCTCACCTTTCCCTTGATGTTGGACTCATGCTGCATCTTACTAGAGGCTTCTAAAGCCAGACAGAGCTAGATTCACATGTAATTGGCATCTGCAAGCCTCGACTCTGTATCTGGGTAGCTGATGAAAGGGCCTATCTCATGGGGCTGTCCTCTTCATCCCACCACCACTTCCATTCCTGTTAGGAGTGCTGAGATGACATCTTTAGTTGAATGTATTACTTATTACCGTTAATGTTATTTATATTTTAAAGTTCACCTTTAAAGGATATATCCCTAGGAATAAAATTGCTGTGCCAAAGTTATGACCCTTACTTTTGGTCATCCTAGCTATAGATGACCAAATTTGTAGGGATCCCCAAATTTCATTATTTTGGAAATTTTGGATTTTGTTGTTGTTTTGGTTTTGGTTTGTTTGTTTTTTGAGAAAAAGTCTCACTCTTTTTTTTTTTTTGAGACGGAGCCTCAAGCTATCCCCCTGGGTA